ACTATTAGGAGCTAGTCGTTTCAATTTATTATCTGTTATTCATCAAATCGTTCAGTGTTTTAATATCTGACTAGGCTCGATGACACATCTTTTCATTGCTTCATCGATCATTAAGACTAACATTTTGTTTTCGACATGGTCTACTTCTGTTGTGACTATGCATACATTCATCGTATGAACCGAGAACTGATGGGATGAGTGCTGAGGAAAAGAACTTACGGGATCAATCGCCATAACAAAAAGATAAATTTCTTCTGAAAGTAAAGGAAATAACTTTGTTGATGCAGCTTCTTTTTGCCCAGGTCGATCATTCCGGCGACTGGATCCGTTGAAATCTGAGCCTGTTCCGGTACAGCTATTCTCGATTCCGGCACAGTTTTCGACGATTCCGGCACAGTTTTCGACGATTCCAGCAAGTTCCGGCAGGTTCCTTGCCGCCGGATTCCGGCCGTGCCATAATAACCTGGGTGCATGTTTTATGTTTTGTCTTACTTGGCTAATGAATTTCTCAGGTCATGTCTTACTCGTTATAGGCGTAAGAAGAAAACAGTATCAATGAAACAGATGGACGGTCGCATCGAACGTGTATTTTGTAATTAAAATTTTTTTTTTGAATCGAACTTCCTTGTTGCTGGCTAGAAACATGTGAAAATGAGAGGTGTAACGATAAATAGAACACGAAATTAGTACTGTATCTACAGACATAATCGTGTATTTGTATTGGTATTGCTAGACATTTGGAGCAATATAGGATGATTTGAATGAATAATTAGATCTATGCTCAATAAGGGCTAAATCGTGGAATAGACTAAGAGCTCAAACAGACATAAAAAAGTGAATGTTAACTTAAAATTGATTCGACCAACACAATTGTGCATACCGTACATTCGAGGAAAAGTCGAATAATGGATGTTTTTCTCCTCTTTCTTTGTCATAAACGATCATAGACGAAACATCGTGGTTTAGTACATAAAGGTTGGCGAAGAACTTTTTCGAATATTCTGATATTAATCATACAATGAAGACTTTCATCTTCACTAGTCATAATCAAATCTTCAGGGTGAAGAAGCGCATTGTCAGGCGATTTATCAGCCCTTTGTACAGATGAATCATCATCTAATTAGTTAAATTTTGATATATTAGTCCAGAAAGAAAGTTCTTGGCGAACTAGAAAAGTGTGTGGATTCGCATCATATTCTTAAAATATCTGTTGATTCAACATTATCCTCAGACCATTATTGCAATAAATCCTAATCCTTGTGATAAAAATTCCCCTAGTGATGTAAATGGTATTTATACGAAACTAATCAAAAAATGAATGTTACATGACTTAGACTCTTACTAATCTTGATTTACAGAACCTTTTGATCCTAATTTTTAAAATAAAACCAAGCAAAAAGCTTACGACACTCGGTATTCCCAGGCGGTCACCCATCCAAGTACTAACCGAGCCCGACGTTGCTTAACTTCAGTGATCGGACGAGAACTGGTGTATTCAACGTGATATGGCCGTAAGCGTATATTATAGTGTTACTTAGTGGAATGAGGGCTTTCATCAATGACTTGTCTTTTACTTCAGTCTTTTATTGCTACATGAGTAACTAACTCAGATCAATTCAAATGAAATTTCTTTCGCTGTACAAAATAGGATGTCTATATACATTTATGAGAAAATGATTCATCAATATTCTTGTTTCGGTTAGTTTAATGTATTAGAATAAAAGTTAAAAAAATTCAAAACAGTATCCTATGCGTTTTCTCGAATCATTTTATCAACGATAAAAGCAAAATTTCATTTCATATGATCTTTCTTGAACCTGAGACAGATTCTTATTCGTCATTTATTTGCGACTAATATTAATATCAATCTTGATTTTCAATTGAAATTAATTTATTACCATATTTTTCACTAATTCTTCTTATAAATTACGATTAGTACAAGAGCATGATTTACTATTTATTTGTTTTTGAAGATTTTTTATATGAAGATAAGTCATACGAATGACTAAATGAATTACTTGACAAACAATCAACTTCATAATGAGAAAAATCATATTAATGAAATGAAATATTATGTTTCGACTTTCTAAATGATAATTCATGACGAAATCAAGTCAATCTGTTTATATCGATAAAACAAATCATTTCTTATACCTTCATTCGAAATTTCATGATATACTCGCAATTAATTTTTTCAGTCATTGTGCAATTTTATTTCTGTTTATGATAAAATCTGCAAATACGTTCAGTTTATGATTAAGATTTCCATGGAAATTCTATTCCTTCTGGATCTTCGGATTGAACTTTTTTTCTTCCATCAGGACAAATCATGTCACCCGAATCTGCATCGAGAAAAACTAATTTTGGAATACCAGTTACATGAAATTGAGATGCTAATTCGTCTTTTGCGTGTCGATCTTTATAATCTAATGTTAACCATGGCATTTCATTGTAATATTCTTCGTAGGAACTCTCATCACGATCAGAACTTATGAAAATAATTTCAAAATTCTTTTCTTTATGATGATTTGCATAGAATTCGGCTAAGACCGGGGTAAAACCACGGCATGGTGGACACCTTCAACGAACAAACAAGATTTGACGACGAGGAAAGAAATGAAATTTACCAATGAGCACTAAAATAAAGACCAATGACTTTCCCTTTGTATTGTTCCCCATTGAGATCAACTTTTTCCTTCGACTTATTAAGAATATTTCCCTTGAAAAGTTTAGCAACGCCAGCCATCGAAAGTCTTGTGAATGAAGAAAAAAATGCTGAGAGTAGAAAATGGAAGAATATTCTGTCTCTTTATATTTCTTTTCTTTCTCTTTTTGAAGTTTTTGTCATGCCAACAAAAGAAAAAAGGTCCTTTTGTTATATGAGCATTTTCTTTGTAGTTGAATCATTCTTTCCAAAAAATGAAACACAAATTGATGTTTTCCGAGTTACTCAATCCAGAGAGTCCGATTATTTCACTAGTTATTGAGTTATGTTTTACAATGTGCAAACAAAATGAACGGTTTTATGACACTAATCATTTGAGATATTGAATGCAAAGAAAAGAGACAACCAAAATTTGCTTTCTTAATACATAGGAATGAAATTGTAATCGTCGGACTTCTATTCAATCGTAATATAAAAACGCAAAAAGAATTCACATAATAAAGATGGGCGTAAATCGTACTAAATTGACGTCATATGGCTAAAAAAAGTCTAGAAGGAAAGAGGATGACATGAATGTTCTTTATCCGAGCATAACGTGCAGTTTTCTGACGACTCACTCGTGTGCGTCATATATATAATGAGTGTTTTTTCTTTTTTTACCTTCAGTTTACGTGTCTTTCTCTTCCTTCTCATTATATACAAATAACAGAAGACATAATTCTTTTCTTCGCTGTAAAAAATGGAAAATTCAAATTCCGATGTTGAACATCATGAAGATATTTCATCAGACAGTTCATTTTCGAAATCATTTCAAAATTTTGCACAAACAGTAAGTTATTCGGATTGAAAATCAGATTTCACGCACTTTCATTGAATTAATTAGATTCACAACAAAGTCTGGGGCGATTCCAAATGGGCACAAACAGTAAATAAATAGCGAGATTTACTCAAATCATTTTCTAATAGAAAATATTCTTTTTTTTGCTATTTAAGTTTCATGACAAAGTTTGGGGTCACGCAAACAAAGAAGATGATGAAGCACAATTCACTTCAATCAAAAATTAATTCATCTAATTATCTCAATATTTGACGTGTTGTTTTGTAACTAAATAAATCGACAAAAAACATTTCTTTGATTTTCATTAATTCTTTCTCAAATCTGAATATTCTGCGAGTCATTTCAAAAATCTTTGTATGGTTAAGAAAGAAAAATTGAATTTGAAGCAGTCAATAACCATCGTACTGAATGGTTGTTTTTTGTTTTCGTTAGAATATTTTAATATATTCGTAAGAAATAACAAAACAGAAAAGAGAAAGAAACGTTGAAATTAATTATCTTCGTCATCTTGTTCAACCATTTCTTCATCATTATCGTCATCGATTTCTTGTTGTTCATCATTGTTGTCTTCTTCATCGCTTTCTTGTAAATCGAAAACTTGAACATGTTCAGTTTTTTTATCCCAATGAAGTTTCACTTTGATTTTGAATTGTGCCAAAGGATGTTGAAATAGTTTTAATAATTTCGCTTGTTCTGGTGTTAATGTATCACCTTTTTTACAGATTGTAAAAGGTTTAATTAAGTGAATAATACCCTTTTTCAATGTTGTTGCCAATCCCAATGATCGTAATAAAGGTTCCATTGTGTGTTGAAAACCATCTAATGGTCCTTCGTCAATGATCACCGTTTCTTTAACACGATTTCCTGCTCTGGCATAATCTTCCATTTCTAATTTATTAAAATATTCTAAAACTTCTTGTGGACTTCGATTTGTTAACATTAAACCCATTTTACCAACAAGATATGGAGATATTTTTGCTAATGATGGTAAATATTCCGTTGCTGGTGTTCGTCCAAGAGCTAATTGCATAACGCGATTTTTTCCAAAGAAAAAATATGATGATTCTGATCGTGGAAAATGTGCACGCACGGTTTGTAATTTATCTGTACGTTCATTATAAAGACGAACGACAAATAGATGTGAACATTCATCGAGACGTGTACGAATTTTTTTCACCAATTCTTGTTTTAATTCAAGACCACGATTCGCTTTCAATTTTTTCGATGATTTCGAGATCGTTACACGTTGGGCACGTTTAGATTTGGGCATCTTGTTCTTTGTATCCCTCTAAAAACTAAAAACAAAAAGCAATTAGATTCATTTCAAAAATGGAATTACGAAAAAGAAGTAAATGTGATGTTTAAATGATCAAATAGAAGACGAAAACAATCCTCTATGAAAGTAAACGATTTCTATTGGTTAATCTCAACATCCAATAATGCTGTCTGTACTTGTCTCTATTATTACATTATACACACACAATGATGTAGATGGTAGAACTGTAGGAGAATGATTTTTTTGTGTTGGAAATATGTTCTGAATAGGAAAAGTGTCTCTTTCCTCACTATAAAGAAGAAATTTTTATTGCAACAAAACATTAGTAAATGCAGCGTAACTTGAAATTCTAAAGGATTTCCATTCGTATATGAATGATGAAGTCCACTGTTAGGAAAGATTTTATTGAATGAAAGTTTACTAAGAAGTTTGGTACACTTCGAGAATTACTTTTTATTAAAATAAATATGGGGAAACTTCGGAGTCTGATATGCGATTATTATCTACTTGTATTTCAACACTCAATGTACTGAAATGGTATTTCTTACTGTCAGCAATGTGGAATCACACAGTATCGAGATTATTCTTCACGGAATATGAAGCAGACACCCTCAAATTCAAATCTTAGATCGACAAAAAGAAGTTTACTAGAAGAATTTGTCGTCTGAATCAATGTTTAACTGATTGGGAATGCTTTTGAGAACCAATGGTACAAGCATTTTCAGTTTTTTTCATACAAAACAAAAGTTTACACTCTATACAGAAGACTGTTCTCATCAAAAGATTATAAAGGTAATAGACCTTGTTTTTGTTCATGGATCATTTCAGAAATGAAAAAAAAAGAGAAAAAACAATTTATTATAAGTACATTGTAAACTCCCAACCGTGTTAATTTGAAAGAAAGACACTGAACACGAGAATATATAAAAGGTTTTCAAGTATTTACACCCACACCCACACTCAATAGATGAAAGTGGACACTGAATCTGATGAAAATATGTATTAGATAAGAACGAAAGAAAATCTACCGTAATTATATTCATTTTGATAATGTGAAGTTTTAGCGAAGTCGTATTTCTTGAAATAGAATCCATTGATGCATTGGCATCGTAGAGATGATATCAATGAATATTCATTTTTCCTGCATCTCTATGAGTCTATTTATTAGTTAAAATATTTCATTAGAAAGGAATTGACTGAAATAACGGAAAAATTGAGCGAACAAGTAGAATGCACTATCAGCGAATTCAAAAAGTCTAGTAAAAGAATGGCAATAGATAATAGTTTGTATCAATGTAACAACAATGTCAAACTCGAGAATCGAATCTGATTTTAATTAAGTACGTAATTATTGAATAATAATAATATATTGAATGAATACATTTCGAACTCTTTCTTCGTTTTTTATTCGAAATTTAATTCCGACTGCTGAAAGATTAATGTAGTCTTGTAAGTAAATCACCATCTTTTGATTATCACAAAATTTGAGAGCATTAAAATGTTTGACGAGATTGAAATTTATGTCGTCAGTTACACTCACGCTTTTACTCTTTACCTCATCTGTTTATTATATTAAAAATAAGAAAATACTTAAGCATAAACACAATCAAGCGGCTTTACAATGCTAATAGCAGATGTATTACATAAGAAGTGAACAAAAGGACAATAGAAAGACGAGTTTATCTATTCCGATCGATTTTGTCGAAATAATGCTCGATATGCTTTCACATATTCCTTTCTAAATAATGGTGATGGTAAGATATAGATGAAAAAAGTTAAATTTGGTGGAACAAATGAAATGAAATATGATAAAAGATATAACCATGTATTTTCATTTGCTTTTAAACATCGAAGTAATAACGAAATAACAAGATGTGGTAATGTTAACATGACTGAAATAATTGGACTCAGAATTAAATCTTTACGTTGAGAAAGTTCTTTTTTAATATGTTGGAAACGAATTTCAGTTGTGCGAATTTTTGCTTTACGCCTTGCAATTGAATAAATAATGTATATAGCTGAATATATATTAATAAGAAACGGAGTTACGATATGAACGAGTGCTAAACTTGTTATGTAAATATATAAACCATATGAATAATTAAGAGCACACCATGTCCGTTTTTCTTCATCATCATCATATAAATTACGAGAAATAATTTCATATAAATTAAGTGATACAATGATGATTGGTAAACAAATTATTATTCGTTTTGCATTTCTTTTACTGTTTGATTTATTAAATTCTATCGCTTGACTGGAACTAACTACACGTTCAATTGATACACAAGCGTTTAACCAATGACTCATCCACAAAAATAATTTAAGTAATGGTTCAATTGATATACATCCAATAAGAAGAGTTAAACGATCTATTGATGGATTTATATGTGTTAATAAAACAAACCAGAATTTAATTAATAGCATTATTACTGCTGACAATGATGTAAGTGATGTTGATAACAAATATATTCCACAACCAACTTGACGAGCATTTTGATTTTTAAACGTTAAAATCAGAAAGGCACTGTTGATTCCACTAATTGTGAACAAAAATATTGTGAAAAATATACTTAACTTTATCAAATTTGATTGTTCATTTATACTTTTATATGGTTTAATCTCGTATCTTATTATATCATCCAATGTTAATCCAACACCTTTACCGTAAAATTGACATTGATCGCCAAAAAAACAATCAATACAATCACATATTATAGAAAAAGGACACAATGGATGATCTTGAAGACATTTTCCATCGTTAAGACATCGAACATTTTCAGTGCAAGCAAAACTAATCTGACGATCAAAATGAAAACAATTCGCATATTGTTCAATTGTACATAAACACATATAGAATTCATCATAAAAACATTTTAAATTATAATAAAATTGACATAATGTTTGATATAATTTAATTCGTTCAATTCGTGCTAGTTTCCTTTGTTCAAATGTTAGAAGTTCATTCATTGCAGGACATCGTCGAGTTGAATCAATTGATGTTGATACGTTTGACATTTGTCTTTGTTGAAGTAAAGCCAAATAATAATTGTTATTAATTACTATAAAAACCATTTGAAAAGTAAATTCTGAATACAACGTTACTACATTTTGCCGTATGATCGTCTTTTTTATTTGTATATCTGTTGTCATCGGCATTTCAGACGAGACGTATGAATAAATATAAGCTATTATGTATGAAGATGTTTTTATCTCACGAATAAAAATTTCTAACGTTGTTCGAAGCTGTTCACATCTGATACCATAGTACTTTTCTGGGCACAAACATAAATAACTATCTATCATTGATCATCCTTTCATTAATTACAATGCATTCACCATTATTTTCGCAGTAGTTTTCAGGACAAGAATGTTTCAACAGGCAATGAGGACCAAATTTTTCAAGTGGACACATACAAATCGATCGATTATAAATATTTCCCAACCAAATGGAATCAGATGAACAATTATTAGAGTAAAGAGGAATGTGACAAAACATACCTGACCAACCTGGATTGCATTGACAGAAGAATTTTTTATCATTAATATATTTAAGANAGTTGATTCAATTGAAGAATCAAATATACAATTGACTGTCCTTAGTTTAATATAGAAATATTCGGTGAGAATTATTTTGAATTCCAGACGAGGCGAGATTTTTCTTAGTAAAGTGCACGTTGGGCTATTTTCGCATATTTTCAATAATATCGAGTAAGGTCCAAACAGCACAGCAAGAAATAATGAATCTGCATTTGAAATGCAAATATTTTTACTTGAATGGTAAACAATAGAAATTTGAATACGCTGATAACATTTTTCTATGTTCCATAACTCTAATACTCTCTACATCCCAGGTCAACAAATCCGATGCTGGATCCGACCATTTGACAAAATCTGATCGGATTCCTGGAAACGGAATTGCATTGGAATCCCACTAGAAAAATCCCGTCGGTTGTTGCAAATTTTATGAGCGATCTTTCTAGCTATATTCTATGATGACCCTTAGAAAATCCAGGAAATCCATGTTTCGGATCCGACGTGGGATCCGATGGGATCCGAGTATGGGATTGTTCGACCTGGGTATTCGACATAGATATTTCTTATTTGCAGCGGGTACTCCCTCTAGTTATTGATAAGACTTTGACTATAGTTTAACAAAGACATATTATTAAATAACGTGCGAAATGATAAATAATAGATTGAGACAAACTCTAGTTTTTATTCTGTTGAACATTTCGGATAAGATTTGATCATATACAATCATATGTATGTACTCATTTATTTAGTCAATATGTCTAAATCTATCACGAAGATGCATACGTAAAAACATGTCTGAATGCAGGGTGTCGTCGACTTTTGTCTTTAATATTTTACGGAATGTTCATGTAATAGATGAAGTCAAATGTTTGTGTTCTCGATACAGTAGAAGTACATCGACATTGATATTGAAGTCAACAACATAATTTGATTTTGTGTTTAGCATTCTCTCGAAAATGCATACCCTTCTCTGATGCATGCTCTCTGCCATCTTCGTAGATCAATCCATTTGTCATATATTTCATTGTCCAGATTATTTTTCTTCATTTGAAAAAGAAAAATCAGATAAGCACACATGTATATAAAACCGTTAGATTAAAACTTCGGGACTAAAAAGAAATATTAAAATAGTCATGTAAATCAAAAGCTGAACCAAGTGTTTGTTTTATTCAAGCTTTTTTACAATGAGAACCTTCTCCATTGCAATAGAAGGCATTGACAAATCCTTTTTTACCATTCGGTAAAGTAATTCTGTACCATTTTGGACTGTTTTGTTGTCCATCTGCATGCGGTTGTCCAAACACGTAACAGTCCGATGGGTATTTATGATCAATACGGACGAAGCCAACAGTTTCACAGGTGTCTGCTGCGCACTTATTAACGGGACCCGCACGCTGACAGTCAACGGTGCCAGCCTAGTTGTAGAAACAGAAAAGGAAGTGGCTTAGAAAAATCTATTGAGCTACTGATTTACATACGTAAGAATGATCGATCATAAGAGCAAGAGCCAGTAAGAGAGCAATGGCCAATTGTGAAACGTATTTGTTTTCCATTTGTTTGTGTAAGTTGAATTTAGTTGCTGAACTGTTGTTTTGTGCAATTTGAAATTGGTCTTGTTCTCTGTATCCTTCTAAAAACTAAAAACAAAAAGCAATTAGATTCATTTCAAAAATGGAATTACGAAAAAGAAGTAAATGTGATGTTTAAATGATCAAATAGAAGACGAAAACAATCCTCTATGAAAGTAAACGATTTCTATTGGTTAATCTCAACATCCAATAATGCTATCTGTACTTGTCTCTATTATTACATTATACACACACAATGATGTAGATGGTAGAACTGTAGGAGAATGATTTTTTTTGTGTTGAAAATATGTTATGAATAGGAAGAGTATCTCTTTCCTTACTATAAAGAAATTTTTATTGCACCAAAACATCAATAAATGCAGCGTAACTTCGAATTCTAATGAATTTCCATTCGTATATGAATGATGAAGTCCACGGTTAGGAGAGATTTGATTGAATGAAAGTTTACTGAGAAGTTTGGAAAACTTTGAGAATTAATTTTTATTAAAATAAATATGGGGAAACTTCGGAGTCAGATATGCGATTATTATCTACTTGAATTTCAACACTCAATGTACTGAAATGGTATTTCTTACTGTCAGCAATGTAGAATCACACAGTATTGAGATTATTTTTCACGGAATATGGAGCAGACACATAAAATTCAAATTTTAGATCGACAAAAAGAAGTTTACTAGAAGAATTTGTCGTCTGAATCAATGTTTAACTCATTGAAAATGTTTTTGAGAATCAATGGTACAAGCATTTTCAGTTTTTTTCATACAAAACAAGAGTTTACACTCTATACAGAAGACTCTTCTCATCAAAAGATTATAAAGGTAATGAACCTTGTTTTTGTTCATGAACCATTTCAGAAATGAAAAAGAAAAAGAAAAAACAATTTATTATAAGTACATTGTAAACTCCTAACCGTGTTAATTTGAAAGAAAGACACTGAACACGAGAATATATAAAAGGTTTTCAAGTATTTACACCCTCACCCACACCCACACCCACCCTCAATAGATGAAAGTGGACACTGAATCTGATGAAAATATGTATTAGATAAGAACGAAAGAAAATCTATCGTAATCATATTCATATTCATTTTGATAATATGAAGTTTTAGCAAAGTCGTATTTCTCGAAATAGAATCCATTGATGTATTGGCATCGTAGAGATGATATCAATGAATATTCATTTTTCCTGCATCTCTATGAGTCTATTTATTAGTTAAAATATTTCATTAGAAAGAAATTGATTGAAATAATGGGAAAATTGAGTGAACAAGTAGAATGCACTATCGGCAAACTCAAAAAGTCTAGTGAAAAGAATGACAATAGATAATAGTTTGTATCAATGTAACAATAATGTCAAAGTCGAGAATCGAATCTGATTTTAATTAAGTACGTAATTATTAAATGAATACATATCGAACTCTTTCTTCGTTTTTTATTCTAAATTTAATTCCGACTGCTGAAAGATTAATGTAGTCTTGTAAGTAAATCACTATCCTTTGATTATCACAAAATTTGAGAGTATTAAAATGTTTGACGAGATTGAAATTTATGTCATCAGTTACACTCACGCTTTTACTCTTTACCTCATCTGTTTATTATATTAAAAATAAGAAAATACGTAAGCATAAATACAATCAAGCGGCTTTACAATGCTAATAGCAGATGTATTACATAAAAAATGAACGAAAGGACAATAGAAAGATGAGTTTATCTATTTCAATCGATTTTGTCGAAGTAATGCTCGATATGCTTTCATATATTCTTTTCTAAATAATGGTGATGGTAATATATAGATGAAAAAAGTTAAATTTGGTGAAACAAATGAGATGAAATATGATAAAAGATATAACCATGTATTTTCATTTGCTTTTAAACATCGAAGTAATAACGAAATAACAAGATATGGTAATGTTAACATAACTGAAATAATTGGACTCAGAATTAAATCTGTACGTTGAGAAAGTTCTTTTTTTATATGTTGGAAACCAATTTGAATTGTGCGAATTCTTGCTTTACGCCTTGCAATTGAATAAATAATGTATATAGCTGAATATATATTAATAAGAAACGGAATTACGATATGAACAAGTGATAAACTTGTTATGTAAATATATAAACCATATGAATAATTAAGAGCACACCATGTACGTTTTTCTTCATCATCATCATATAAATTACGAGAAATAATTTCATATAAATTAAGTGATACAATGATGATTGGTAAGAAAATTATTACTCGTTTTGCATTTCTTTTACTATTTGATTTATTAAATTCTATCGCTTGACCAGAACTAATTACACGTTCAAGTGACACACAAGCATTTAACCAATGACTCATCCACAAAAATAATTTAAGTAATGGTTCAATTGTTATACATCCAATAAGAAGAATTGAACGACCTATTGATGGATTTATATGTGTTAATAAAACAAACCAGAATTTAATTAATAACATTATTACTGCTGACAATGATGTAAATGATATTGATAATAAATATATTCCACAACCAACTTGACGAGCATTTTGATTTTTAAATGTTAAAATCAAAAAAGTACTATTGATTATACTAATTGTGAACAAAAATATTGTGACAAATATACTTAATTTTATCAAATTTAATTGTTCATTTATACTTTTATATGGTTTAATCTCATATCTTATTATATCATCCAATGTTAATCCAACACCTTTACCATAAAATTGACATTGATCACCAAAAAAACAATCAATACAATCACATATTATAGAAAAGGGACATAATGGATGATCTTGAAGACATTTACCATCGTTAAGACATCGAACATTTTCAGTGCAAACAAAACTAATCTGACGATCGAAATGAAAACAATTCGCATATTGTTCAGTTGTACATAAACACATATAAAATTCATCATAAAAACATTTTAAATTATAATAAAATTTACACAATATTTGATATAATTTAATTCGTTTAATTCGTTCTAGTTTCCTTTGTTCAGATGTTAGAAGTTCATTCACTGCAGGACATCGTCGAGTTGAATCAATTGATGTTGATACGTTTGACATTTGTCTTTGTTGAAGTAAAGCCAAATAATAATTGTTGTCGATCATAATGAAAATTATTTGAAATGAATATCGTGGATACAACGTTACAGTACTTTGCGTTATGATCCGTTTTTTTATTAGTATATTCAATACCACTGATGGCTGAGAAGAAACGTATGAATAAATATAAGCTAATAAATATGGAGATGTTGGTATTTTATGAATATAAATTTCCAACACGTTTCTTTCTTCTTCACATCTAACACCATAGTATTTTTCTGAGCATAGACATAGATAACTGTCATTATTTATCCTTTCATTAATTACAATGCATTGACCATTATTTTCGCAGTAGTTTTCAGGACAAGAATGTTTCAACAGGCAATGAGGACCAAATTTTTCAAGTGGACACATACAAATCGATCGATTATAAATATTTCCCAACCAAATGGAATCAGATGAACAATTATTAGAGTAAAGAGGAATGTGACAAAACATACCTGACCAACCTGGATTGCATTGACAGAAGAATTTTTTATCATTAATATATTTAAGACAGGTACCTTGTTTACACTTAAGAGGACAATCGTTAGGTCTTAAATTTAGTTCAGTATAACGCAATTTTAATAGCACTGCAAGTCGATTAACTGGAAGAAAAGCAAATTCAAGTTTGAAATACCAACTTGCAATGTGTTTTAACGAAGATTTATCGTAAACGTCAATATGAATGCTATAATTCTTTGAAAGACGTTTTGGTCTGGTTGAATATAAAAGATAAACATTAAACGGTTGTCCACATTCACTTTTTGGGATGTACATTATTTGTTCATACGAATTTATTTCTTGTCGATTGTCGTCATCATCGATTAATTTAATGAAGATGCTATAAATTGCACTTCTACTCATTGACAATAATGTCAATGTGAGACTAACACGCTGATTTTGATATTGACAAAAATTACCATAATAATTTGGGGGACAGAAGCAAGCTAAACTAGAGTTTTCATTTTTCAATAAGCCATAAACAGAACGACAACGCTTCCAATATGATGGTAAATGTAATTTGCCAAATGTCAACATGGTATATTTTCTCGTGCTTGGTTCCAAAGCTTCTGAATTTGTGACCGGATCAGTCATTTCCGTGTTCATTCTTGGATATGTTTTAGATTGTTTCAATGTAAATGCAACACGTCTAAAAGTATTAATATGACAAATGTAATTCTTTAATCCGGTCATATTATTATAAATCCATTCATGACATATATTCTGACCATACATGTCCTGAATGTCAAGTGAATAATTATCGTTTAGATTGCAGATCGTCAGAGGTTCAACACAAATTGTGTTATTCAAACAACGAAACTGATATGTTATTCCAAAATAATAACTTGCAATTCGACATAATTGGAGTTCATCTAATCCTCCAAGACAGTCAACAATTCCGTTTTGAATTTGATGTGATGGTAAGCATATTTTTGTATAATTAAAAGGTGAAATACAATCAAGAAACTGTCGAGAACAATTCGATATATGACAATTCTCTTCATCTTCACCGTTTGGAAAATTCCAGAATCCATCACATCGTGTATAGATATTGTTACAAGGCCAGTTTTCACAATTTGTTTCGTCCGTATGATTTTGTCCATTAATTAGTTGAGGTAAAATATCGACATATCGATCACATATTTGATGAAATAAAATTGTATCGATGTTCTGATAGGCAGATTCAGTAGATGGACAATCATCACTCTTAGAAATTGGTGATTTACATTGAGTTTCATTTGCACATTTAAAACGAAATGAATCATTTAATAAACAACTCAATTCATAATCTTGTTCATCATCTTTTAAATAGCAATCGTTAATGCCATCAACAATTCGATGCTTTGAGATGTATTTTGAAGTGTTTTGGCATTGATATAATGATGAATATTGAGAATAATCTACAGGATCATTGAACCGAGTGTGACAGCCATAAAACGACGGTTTTATTGCATCGATAATTGATTTCCAAGTTAAATATTCGGTATTTGACTTCAAACCCATTTGATCGACTTTTCGACATCCATGAGATTTATAAGAAAATGTTGATGACAGAAAATCACATAAGCGTCGGTCATAACAAATAAAATCGGGGAGAAGAACTGCATTCGTATTTATTTCTGAGATCATTCTTGGACGATATAAGAAATAAACATGGCTGAATAGAACAGGATGTGCTGGAAATTGAATCAAGACCTCGCAACTATGAAGATAAATAATAATGTTAGAAGATTGAAAGAATTCATCACATAATGTTTTATTTAATCCATCGATAATTTTAGTAAGACAAACCATCGCAATCCAACAATTATCGGATAGATTTCCTCGAGCAGTTAACGATTGAAGTAATCTCAAATGGCGTCCATTCAAACATTCATCATAATCTTCTACACATTGTCCATCTCCACATGAAAATTTCTTTTCACCTGGTGGACATGTGTTTTCTTGGCACTGAAATAAGCCCAATGACAAATCAAGAACAGCACAGGGTATACTACGCGAGAAATCAGATCGATCGAGACATTCAAGACTGTGATGCTCAAACTTCCAATAATAATCTGGAATGCACAGTCCATTGTGACATCGATATTCATCTGATTCACATTCATTCATTTCCAAATCGAAACAATTTGATTCGTCAACACCATTGTTCACACAATCAATGCGACCATCACATACCTCACGCCAATCTAAACAAAGAAACAATCCACCACGATCACATTCCAATAAAACATAACATGTGGAATCCGTAAGAGTATAATTTGAATCAACATTGATCAATGGATATGTCTCAGGAATATCAAATGAATACTGACATCGAGGTCCGAACCATGATGTTGTACAGTTGAAAAAGATTTCATTGAATAAGTGAGATTTATCTTTGTGGTCAAGATAATATTGGTATTTTTCAGCCACATCAATTGATGCAGACCACACGAATATCTGATGTGCAGTAACATTCATTTTGCTTAACTCATGGAATGTATAATTATTGTCATGCATGTTCACGAAATCTCTGGTGATCATCATATCAGCATCATCGGCTGGACGAATACAATATTCAATTCTCATTGGTGTCACCGAGTAAATTGAATAAAAGTACAAACAATCATATTGTAAATAACTACTTAGATAAAACTCCATATTACATGCGGCTTTCATCCATAAGAAAGGTACTAGCCAGAGGAGAAGAAACAACATTGTTGTGCTGTATAAGTGTTCGTATGCTCCTGACTTAAGATCATTGTATTTCTGTACTATAATATAACACCGTGGAATGGTATTTACCTCACGTTCGATCAATGTTAATTTTATGTTCAAATTCTCATTCAAGATCTCAATCAATCTCATTTTTAATAAACTAATTATTTGTGAGAATAGAAATGACAAATAACCATCTATCAATCTGTGTCACAGTGCTTGCTTATATGTACACATGTTCTATCACCATTTTAACATGTCTAAAAGACATGAGAAACTAGTCGGTGCGGAGTTCTCGGATATAAAATTGAAGCTGTTTGAATAGCTCGAAAATACAATTATTTATTTAATAACCGTAAGTCAGTTAGAGAATATGAAAATGCACACTGTCTTTCGCGAAGTGTGAACTCTAACGTCGATTTAGATCGAGATCTCGTTTTTGAGTCTCGATGGCAGTTTAAAATAAAATATTTTTTCATTTTAATGTCAGCTTCTGAAAAACGCATGTGTGTATTCGATGTAACTGACAGTTGTCTGTCTATACCGATACGCATAACTTCCATGTCCATCTGAACATTCGGACAGAGAAAGAGGGAAAGAGAGGGAACAAGACAACCAATGGGTGGGCTCTTAAAATATGAAGAGGAAAAAGTCGAAAGTGGTGGATGAGGCAAGCGAAAGTCACATATTGTTCAGATAGATAAGAAGACGCATGATGGAAGAATATCTGTGATGGTTTTAGGAGATATTTTACTCCTTTTTGACAACCCGTGGAGTATCAAACTTTCATCGATAGTGCTCTATGATGTAAAAAAAAAGAAGTCGCGAGAACCTACTTGAGCGAAAGAAAATAATGTATTAGAGGGTGTCATCCGGGATTGACGAACTATATATCTTCCATTTATCTTTAGATAAGTGACAGTTACATGCGCATTTTAGATTATTGACCTACTATTACGAGGTAATACAGAGTTGAAATAAGACTTTTAAAATGCATGGAAGCGAAGAAGGATTGCATCAGATGCAGGTTAAGATTTAGTTAATGTTCGTGTTCAGTCTGGCTGTTTCTAATATGATTAGTCGATTCGTTTCGAACTTGTAGAATGTTTTAGTACAGAATGTTTCCAACCAACATTATACACCTTCGTTTGCATTGTTAAAAGGATTTTTCCGTTAACTTTATTAAGGGTGTATGCGTGTTGATTGATTTTTTTCTCTGGCTGGTAAGAAAGCATTGCACAATTTAGCGACATTTTTTTACTTTTTCGTTTCTTCTGGATGAGCGACAACTATTAATCATTTCTCCAGATTATGTGTTTATGGACAAAAGACTTGACGTATGGTTTCGCGAAGATATATTATTGAAGAACATACACATTGAAAAATAATATATCAGAATGAAATTTAGTTTTGCTTCCATTGAGCATGTTGAATAAGATTTGATCACATGAAATTCTGCCGATCTGCTCATCTATTGAATGAATACACCTAAATCTGTCACAAAGACATGTACATAGAAACATATATCTGAATGCAAGGTGTCGTCAGGTTTTGTCTTTGATATTTCGTCAAATATCAATATAATAGACAGAGTGGGATGTTTGTCTTCTCGTCACAATAAAAATATATCGATATCGACATTGAAATCGGCAACATAGTTTTATTCTGAGTTTAGCATTCATTCCAAAAGACGTCCACATCTTTGATTTGAGCTCTTCACCGTCTTCGTAGATCAATCAATGTGTTATACACTTCGTTGTCCAAATTACTTTTATTTATTCAAAAAAGAAAATTCACTTAGTATTCTTGCACAAAAACATGGTAGATTAAAACTTCGAGATTAAAAATAAGTGTTCAAATAGCCGTACTTACTGAAAAATCGGAAAAAGTGTTTACTGTACTCAGGTATTTTTGCAACGAGGAACGTCACCATTGCAATAAAACATGTTGATGAACCCTTGTTTGCCATTTGGTAATGTGATTTTGTACCATTTTCGACTCTTTTGTTGGCCATCTGCATGCGGCTCGCCGATAACATAACACTCCGATGGATACTGGTGGTCAATGCGAACAATACCGACAGGATCACATGTGTCTGCTGGACATCTATTGGCGGGTCCTATGCGACGGCATAAAACGGTGCCGGCCTAGTTGTAGAAGTAGAAAATAAAGTATATTAGATGTATTTATCGAGCTATCCGTTCACTTACGGACGATTGATTGATAAGAATAGCTAAGACGATCAAGAGAGCACTGATCAATTGTACAGTGCATTTATTTCCCATTTGTTTGCGTGTGATCAAATTTGGTTGTTGTACTGTTGATTTCTGCCATTTTTAAAAATAGATCTCTTTTATATGCACAGATCAAACTCCCAAGAAATTAGTTTTCTTCTTGTAACTATGCAATTGAGAATAATATTCGATGAATAACTCTGTGAAAAAATTAACCAAACAGAACATTTGAACTTCTCGTCCCACGTACATTGGATGGTGGAAACAAAATTTGCTTGTATATTTCTCCAACAAGTATTATTAATCTAAAAATTCTTTATTTCAAGCGCACTTTGTTACTTTCGTGTTGAGATCCATTAGGAATATTCAGAGGAAGAAGACATCGTTGTGTTCTTTTGATGAAATTTCGCGTGTACATAGTTGGATAAAAAAACATTCTTTTAAAACAACAAAGGAAGTTGAAACAAAATGATTGATTTTTTTTCTCAGATTATTTACATTTTTCAGTGAAAAAGAATTCATTTTCCGATTCATTTAGCATCTACGTAGTTGTTGAATACAGTTTTAGATGATATTTAGAAATGTTTCATTTACTTTTGAAAGCGAAAACAATTCTGATTTTCATCATTCTGTATGTATATCTTTGCAGATTTATGAACTTTTACATCAGTTTTTAAGAGAATTCAATGATCCATATAGTTTTAACCGATCAATTGCTGTTTTATGTTGAAAGTATTTTCATTCATTTGACAAAAGAAAATTTTTTCGAACAAAATTGATAAAATTGTGTAATAAAGAAATTGAAAAGAAAAATTCTTTCAACATGATATTCAGATCGTTATCAGCGAAGAATTTTCATTTATATTCTTTGATTTGTTAATGATTATTTCGAACAAAATGTGTTCATTTACATCACGTAAACTTCGCGATAGTATTTTCTATAATTTTTTTCTTTGATTATTGAATGAAGTCTTCAAACTCGAGAATGAATATCTATTGGAATCAGTTGGTTGAAATCATCTTTGATAAAAATTGCTCTACAACTTCTGTCTTTCAATTTTCATATTTCGTTATGTGAATAAAAATGCTTTGAAAATGAGCCACTATCATTTACTGAAATGCACAAAAAACGTTTTAAATAAATTAATATTTACGTTGCAAAATTCATTCCAATAATTTTCTTGGCTTTTCCTAATGTGAAATTTCTGCAAGATGACGCCATTTATTTGTAACGTGCTCCCCAATTATTCTAATCGAAAAAAAACGAAAATGATTGTTTACTGACAGTCACACTCTTGACAAAAAATATTTCGTCAGAGCTTCTGATGACGAATCAATAGATGATGTTCTAAAATGCATATAAAAGTCTGTGAATTCGATATTTTTGCCATTGGGAAACAATTTAGGTCGTGATTGTGATTCACAACGAAAATTTTTTGCAGTAATTTCCAGTTGGAATTTTTCGTCATTTTATGAGTTTGTACTGTCGTTGTAAACATCGCTGGTAAAGTAGAAAATTCGTTTTAGCGACTAAAATAGAATATTCATCTCATTTGATCAAAATCATTTCGAGTCAAAAGATATTTTCGGATTTGAAGGTAAGTCTTCCACTATGATTAGTTAATCTATGAAATTCATTTCATATAAGTTAGAAATCAAAACTTAAATAAAATATTTCTACATTGATGAAATTTTAAAAAAATGAATTCCATCAATTATCGTGATGTGCAAATCTTTATTAGAAACACGTTTCATGGTGCTTTTATGGTTTATTTCAAAGGTAAATTTGTAAGAATCATGAACATAATAAAGAAAAAAAAATAAATGAAAAGAAAAGATTTTCTTTCATAATCATATCTTCTTTGATTCTGATAAATACACAAACGATAAGAAAAGAAAAATTCAAGTGAAGTATTCAATAAAATAAGTTCAATTATCAATATTTGTACTGAAAATCTACACGTAAAAGATATTTCATATTGATTTGATCAGTATTATAAACAATATATTCATTGTATAATAAAGAAGTTTGTCGAGCATTCGATGGAACACCATGACCCATTGGAATGAGTAATCCATCATTTGTATAATGATGTTCTTTTGGATCAGGCATTGTCGATCCACAACCTTTTGTCGAATGTGTTCCATTCGGTAACGTTGATGCAGATAAATTCGTAGCTTTATTACACTCATACATTTTTCCAAGTGCAACTTCGCATAGAAGCATTAGTCCTTCAGGAGATTGTTTTGTTGTAAAACAATAATTTGCTAAATGAAACTTTCTCTGTGAATATCATAGATCGATTTTAAAATGAGTAACATACCACTTTTTGAAACCATATCAGCAAAATAAACACCTTTACCAAACATATAACCAGTCTAGAGAAAATGAATGAGAATGTGAAAGAAGAAAGCAGATGAACTTACAACAGGAGCTTCTGGTGGTGCAATACGTAAACCTTGACTAAGAATTCCAGCATAGTTTGTTGTTCTTGATCCATGCCATAATAATTGATGATTATCAAGAGTTTGAAAATTTTGAAAACGATCAAATTCTCCATGACGTGTTGTTTTAAATAGTTCACGTAATTTTAATGTATATTGATCATGAGTTTTGGCATGTGTTTTAATCATATATTTTTCAATTAACTTAAATTCATCGGAATTTTTATCAACTGGAACCAGATCACATTTTAATTTTTTATAATGAACATCAATTGGATGTTCAGTACTTTCAACGACATTATTTGATTCGTCTAACATCGAATAAGCGATTTCAATTTCTAATAAATTATCGATCATTTCAGTTTTTGTTTTTATTAATTCAGCATTATCAAGTAAAGGTGGTTTTGCAAGACCAAAATCATGAGGAATAACTAAACGAGATCATCTTTTCTTTTTTTCAAGAATTCTCCAAATGAACTTACGCGTGTAGAATCGATTACTTGCATCAATAATAGCCGTTTTCGATGTTGTTACACCACTTGTAATCAATGTCTGTAGTTCAGTTAACACTTTATAAGCTTTATCTAATTGATTTTTTGATAATTTTCCAAGAGGCATTTTTGTTAAATCAATTTCAAATGATAATAAGGCTTGTTTCATTGTTTCAACATTAAAAATCATTTTAACAAGATCTTGAACAGCATTTGCTAATTTCGATTGAATATTTAAATTGGCACTTTCAAGTAATTTTTGCATTTTATCATTATCACCATGTTGACCATAATCAATTTCCAATGGATAATGTTTATTGGGTAATTTTTGAAAGTTTTCTCTTTCAGTCCATTCATTTCCAGTTTTATCAAGAAAAACAGCATGAAATGCTTGAATTGCATCTGCTTTTCGACTATATTCATCAACTTTGTTTCCTCCATAGATCGTTCCTGTTCGACCCGTGAAAAAAGAAAGAAACAAATCTCTTCGAAAGACAATGATATGTTCAACTTATCATGCTCGAAAGACGAACCATTGTCGACCATTATCTGATTCTAATAATTGTAATTTATAATACGAATTTGTTCCACGTGTTATATCAACTAAACCAAGAACCGATGTAAAGATTCCATTCGTTTCTGTATCTTTCAAAACATGACAAGTATCTTCTAATCCTTTAAAAAAAAACAAGATTTTTCATGAATTTCATTTTAGAATCAATTTTTCCAACCTGAATCAGGATCAACAGCAGCTCCATCTTTCAATTTCAATTTGATCTTATCTGGTACTGATTTATTTAATCGTGCTAAAGATGAAAAGAACGAAGATTGAATGAATATTTTCAATAAGAAAAAGAAGGTTCTTTTTTATTCTTACCATCTGATTTTGCTGATGATGTTGTCAATGATTCTCGTTGAGATTTGACTTTTGCTTTTTCATCTGCTTTGGTTTGTTGTCGAATGTGAGGTAAAATTCCCCAAGTTGATATTTTACATTTTTCCATGACAATTGATGGACGATCATTGAGAATTTCTTTAAGAAAATCTTCGGAAACAACATGAATATTCATCGTTTCAGCATCTTGAAGTTTTTTGCTCTTCTTTTGAAGTTCATCTTTTTTATCAAAATTCAAATTTCATTCAAATCTTCTTTGATGAAAATGTTTCTTACCTTGTGAACTAATAACAATTCCAACAGTTTCGTCGATTTTGGATGAAAATGTTCCACCTAAACGTTCAATTTCTTTCTGTAGTGTTGCAACTGAACTCGACAAACGGCCAGCTGATGAGACAACATAACCAGATAATGGAAAATTCGAATTATACGTCGGTCTAAATGAGAAACACGATTAACTATGTCAATATTCGAAGTGAACAAGTTTTACTCTTTGATAACTCGTGTCACTTCTGGTGTTTTCTCAACAATCGCTTGATTTTCAATAACTTTCGCCAAGATTCGATCACGTTTTTTATATTTATATGATTTAAATGCATCATATTCCGTTTTAATATCATTTGGAATATCAAATGCTTTTCGTGTCGGTGTTGTTGTTGTATAAGAACATTTTGTCCATTCAGTAACATCACCAGTGCAACGATAACAAGTGTAACTAAAGATGAGAAATCCTCCACATTCAGGACAATGTTCCAATATTCCAAAAGCCATACAATCTGCTACAGTATCGATTAACTAAAAAGATTCAAGATTCAAAAATATTTCTTCAAATGAATTTTCTTCGATTAAATTTACATGGGATTCACCAGTGACGATCTTTTGTTGATTATGTTCAAGTAATTCTCTTAAAACATCATTTGGTACTTCTTTTCTTAATGCATCTTTATATTTCCAGAGTAATTCACTTTGTTCCTACGAAGCAAAAATCGTTTTGAAAATAAATTCTTTTGGATAAAAACGAACTTTCTTTTGTCGAACTTCTTGTTCAAGTGCTGAACTATGATTATTTTCTTCTAATTTCGATTGTTTCGCTTTGGGTGCATCATCATTGTCTCCTGCTGAACTTGCTGCTTTTTCTCCTTTACGTTTTCGATTGACATTTACTGAACCAAATTTCTTTTTCAATTCCGTTTGATCTTCTTTATTCAAATTATTGAATCCAACAAATCTAAATGAAATTAGTTTTCAATGAATATTTTCTTCAAAAGAATTCAATACGAACGTCTCAGCATTTCCATCGAAAAGAAGTTCATCTTTGTGTTCTTTGAAACAATCAATATGATACCATTCATCAGTGGGAACTGATGTATGGGCTGAAGAAACTTTTCTTGATAATCGAACGAGATCTTTTTCAATTTTGGAATTACAACCATGACATGTACTTCGATTGGATCGAGCGTATTCAACACAAAATTCACTGGAATGATTTTCCGTTTCATCTTCTAGAAGATGAAAATGCTGAATTGAAAAACGAAAATGAATCGTTCTACTTGTCTCTTTTGTTGATTTTCCATCGACTTTTTGACGAATTCTTTCTTGATCGTCCCAACGAAGTTCCTCAAAACCTTTGATAATTTCTGCATTGGCTGGTTTAACTTTTTTAAAGAAACAATTTGTGTGATACCATGTTGGAATCTAAAGAAATGTTTTTTATACAAAACTTTTTCTTTTGATTATTTTTAAATAAGAGACTTTTCCATCGAAGTTTGGTGATTGAATCATAATTGCCAAACGTAAAGAATCTTTGTTAATTGTCGATCGACATCCTTTACATGTTGATCGATCAGATTTCGCATATTCGGCACGAAAACCACTGTCAGTCTCATCCATAATTTGTTTTGTGAAAATGATTTGAAAAAGTTAATCAATTGAGATATTTCATCTGATGGTGTAATGACTTAAACAGAGGATTTTTTGTTGAAAAACAAATCGACAAATCAAATATGGTTTAGTCCATCCTATGATGATCAATTGACAATCGAAGAGATTTTCTTTAAAATTTATTGAAGAAAAAGATGAAGATTTNATCATGCTCGAAAGACGAACCATTGTCGACCATTATCTGATTCTAATAATTGTAATTTATAATACGAATTTGTTCCACGTGTTATATCAACTAAACCAAGAACCGATGTAAAGATTCCATTGGTTTCTGTATCTTTCAAAACATGACAAGTATCTTCCAATCCTTTAGAAAATAAGATGATTTTTATGAATTTTATTTTTAAGATCAACATTTCCAACCTGAATCAGGATCAACAGCAGCTCCATCTTTCAATTTCAATTTGATTTTATCAGGTACTGATTTATTTAATCGTGCTAAAGAGGAAAAGGAAGAAGATTGAATGAATATTTTCAAGAAAAACGAAGGCTTTTTTTTTGTCTTACAATCTGATTTTGCTGATGATGTTGTAAATGATTGTTGTTGAGATTTGAGTTTTGCTTCTTGATCTACTTTGGTTTGTTGTCGAATGTGAGGTAAAACTCCCCAAGTTGATATTTTACATTTTTCCATTACAATTGATGGACGATCGTTGAGAATTTCTTTAAGAAAATCTTCGGAAACAACATGAATATTCATCGTTTCAGCATCTTGAAGTTTTTTGCTCTTCTTTTGAATTTCATCTTTTTATCAAAATTCAATTTCATTCAAATCTTCTTTGATGAAAACTTTTCTTACCTGATGAACTAATAACAATTCCAACGTTTTCGTCGATTTTTGATGAAAATGTTCCACCTAAACGTTCAATTTCTTTCTGTATTGTTGCAACTGAACTCGACAAACGACCAGCTGATGAGATAACATAACCAGATAATGGTAAATTTGAATCATATGTAGGTCTAAATGAGGAACATGATTAACTATGTGAATAGTCGAAGTGGACAAGTTTTACTCTTTGATAACTCGTGGAACTTCTGGTGTTTTCTCAACAATCGCTTGATTTTCAATAACTTTCGCCAAGATTCGATCACGTTTCTTATATTTATATGATTTAAATGCATCATATTCCGTTTTAATATCATTTGGAATATCAAATGCTTTTCGTGTCGGTGTTGTTGTTGTATAAGAACATTTTGTCCATTCAGTAACATCACCAGTGCAACGATAACAAGTATAACTAAAGATGAGAAATCCTCCACATTCAGGACAATGTTCCAATATTCCAAAAGCCATACAATCTGCTACAGTATCGATTAACTAAAAAGATTCAAGATAAGAAAACTTCTCAAAATGAATTTTCTTCAATTAAATTTACATGTGATTCACCAGTGACGATCTTTTGTTGATTATGTTCAAGTAATTCTCTTAAAACATCATTTGGTACTTCTTTTCTTAATGCATCTTTATATTTCCAGAGTAATTCACTTTGTTCCTACGAAGCAAAAATCGTTTTGAAATGAAATTTCTTTGGATAAAAACGAACTTTCTTTTGTCGAACTTCTTGTTCAAGTGCTGAACTGTGATTATTTTCTTCTAGTTTCGATTGTTTCGCTTTGGGTGCATCATCATTGTCTCCTGCTGAACTTGCGGCTTTTTCTCCTTTACGTTTTCGATTGACATTTGCTGAACCAAATTTCTTTTTCAATTCCGTTTGATCTTCTTTATTCAAATTATTGAATCCAACAAATCTAAATGAAATCAATTTTCAATGAATATTTTCTTCGAAGAATTCAATACGAACGTCTCAGCATTTCCATCGAAAAGAAGTTCATCTTTGTGTTCTTTGAAACAATCGATATGATACCATTCATCAGTGGGAACTGACGTGTGTGCTGAAGTAACTTTTCTTGATAATCGAACGAGATCTTTTTCAATTTTGGAATTACAACCATGACATGTACTTCGATTGGATCGAGCGTATTCAACACAAAAGTCACTGGAATGATTTTCCGTTTCATCTTCTAGAAGAGAAAATGCTGAATTAAAAGAACGAAAATGAATCGTTGTACTTGTCTCTTTTGTTGATTTTCCATCGACTTTCTGACGAATTCTTTCTTGATCGTCCCAACGAAGTTCCTCAAAACCTTTGATAATTTCTGCATTGGCTGGTTTGACTTTTTTAAAGAAACAATTTGTGTGATACCATGTTGGAATCTAAAGAAATGTTTTCTATATAAAACTTTTGTTTTTGATTATTTATAAACGAGAGACTTTTCCATCGAAGTTCGGTGATTGAATCATAATTGCCAAACGTAAAGAATCTTTGTTAATTGTCGATCGACATCCTTTACATGTTGATCGATCAGATTTCGCATATTCGGCACGAAAACCACTCTCACTTTCATCCATAATTTGTTTTATGAAAATGATTCGGAAAAGTTAATCAATTGAGATATTTCATCTGATTGTGTAATGACTTCACTTAAACAGAGAACTTTTCTTTTTGAAAAACAAATCGACAAATCAAATATGGTTTAACCCATCCTATGATCAATCGACAATCGAAGAGATTTTCTTTAGAATTTATTAAAGAAAAAGATGAAGATTCAATTTGTAATTAGGATTTTATACATTTTTCTCTCGAAATATTCTCTTTGTTTATGTGCGACACCTACACTTCAAAGCGAAGATTTCTCATGTCGTTTCCGAAAGTGAATGATTTCAATTTACAAATATTGTTTAAGTATTTGGGTTCGTGAATCTTTTCCAACTTGTAAATTATAAAACATCCACGAATCGATCAATTGAACAAGTTCGTCAACAAACAATTCGCTACATTGAACTTTTTCAATCAGAAATCTTCGAAAATCTTCTTTGGTTTTATGAATTAAATATCGACCAATCAAATCTGATATGGTTAAAATAGAACATGAACGAAGATGATCAAAATCAATTGAATTTCCTTGAGATAATGGTAAATCACGAACCTACGGCCAATTCTAATCTTAGTAAGGAGAAATCAAATCAAAATGATGTACATCACGATTACAAATGTGGATCGAAGGAAAATTTGTCGATGTTAACAAATCATTTTTTGAGAATAATTGCGAATTGTTGGAAAGATTTGCGAGTAGTTGATCCTTTTTGGAAGATTTGCGTTTATGTTGAGTGAAGGATAAAATATAATTCATTGAAAAATCGAAATTCTCTCGACAAAACAAAAGATTTCTTATTTCAATTCAAAATTAGCGCTGAAATATAGTTTTTCATTCATTCGATCATTCAAATACGAATAAGATTGACACTGCGGTTTCTATGTATTAACCGACAACTTTAAATATAACAATGTCTACAAATGAGAAGAAAATTCCGAATCGATTGGTGCGCTCAAGTTCGACTTGATGATCAATATCACATATAGAAATGTGAGTTGATATACGTATAGTTCTTTAGATGATTTTCGAAAGAAACAACCGAAAAATACTTGTCTCTTTCATTTTATACAGTCTTCACATCCTAGTCTCATTTCATTAGGAACATCTTGCAAGATATCAGGTAGAATCTACCAAAAAATTGATCCAGTAGATGAATTTACTGATGCACTCTTTATCAAATTTTATTCTTAAACAAAACAGAAAAGGATGTAACAATTCCATCAGTATCATTTGAGATCTGGAGCAATTTATTTTACATTTCATTACTATCCACATGAATTATAAGCTATCGCTAGAGAAGGTTTTGACAAAAAACACTTGTTTGAATGAAAAATGAAAGGCCATGTGTTATTAATGAACATAGTAATAGGAATTTGCATAGTACTTAATTCATATTTGTTTTAACAGAACGAATAAGGAAATGTCAGTTCGAAATAAACATACAGAATGTCTACTGAAGTTGACACGCTTATGCTTGATCCATTATATTTCCAAAACAAATAATATTAATTCATACAAGAATGAGACATTGATTAAGTCTGCGATCGTATTTCTTTTTATTGAAAGAATTTATGTAAGATACCGAATTGGACAAGAAAAATACGTATCAAACTTCGATGGCCGATTACGTGGAAGGTTCCGTGCGGATAAAACTTTTACTTTAGTACAATTCAAAAGTTCTTCATCATTGGTAAAATTATTTGTCACAGCCCTTAAGACTTTGTAATCCATCTTAAGGTGTGTCAAACTAGGTAAGAGAGCGTTTCTCTCAGAAAGAAATTGCATCATATAGTCACGATGTACAAAAATAATAGCAAGATGGAACAGATGACTAAATATTAATGCTCTTTGCCCATGATGTTCTCTATTTTCTTGTGGTTCCGAGTTAATTATGGTTAATTCTTCTAATAAAGGAAAGTCCTGAGATATAATTTGGAATAATTCATATTCGAATGGACGTTGATCAACCATTGATAACATTCGAACTTGATTGAAATGACCACCACGAAAACAGCTTCCCACGAATGAAAATTCACTGAACGAATATGGAAGAGAATAAACATGGCAACTTGCTGAGTTTTTCGCAAGTTTATAATCTGTAAATGCGTCAACTGATTGAAATCCTCTCTTCATGAAACTATTTCGAATATCATCATTTGATGGGAGATCAATGTTGACATGATTATTAACAACACGAGTATGTATATTGAACAGAAATCTTTTTAATCGTGGCATATAATGAAGAATTTCATCATATAAATCATCTCCATTAATATAAGTTGAGTCGCTTCTGATTACTGGGAGGTGTAATGTTAATTCTTCTAGATTGAACATTCGATGAAGTAACGGAACAATTTGCGAATCATAATAAAGCGTGTATAAGCGAGTTTCTAATGAGAATGATTTCAGTTTGGGAAGTCTTTCCTAAATAAACACGAGACCATTAACTTCGATAACAATATTCATGTCAAACAATTGTACTGATACTTACGACATTCTCAAAATGCGATGACAAACACTTGATTTCTTGAATACGGATGATCAATGTCGATAAATATTGGAGACAACCATTAAGAAGCAAAAGACAATCTTCAAATGTTTTAACATATATTGTTAAGTTCGTGATTGTTGAAGATAGAGAACTTATAGTCAAAATATGTCGAATGTAAAATGCTGGATAATCATCTCTCGAAGAATGCTGAAACAGAGTTACATTAGTCAAATGTTTACCATATGACAAGATCGTTTCGAATATAGGTGGTTCCATTTCAATTAGTTCGTTTTCTTCAATACAGTGAATACTTGCTGTGAAATCTGTAATTTGATCAGTAAGTAGACGAAACAATGTACGATCTTGAATGAAAATGCAAACATAAAGTTCATTATGACAAATCAAATTTCAAACCGTGCCTGTTAAAGCTTTGAAGAAAATGTCCGGTGTATAATTGATCAGTGATAACGAATACAGTTTAGGAAAACGACCAGTATGAAAAATACCCTGCATGAAAAATGGATCAACACTTAGTTTAGTTATTTTGTCATCGATTTGAGGTAAAATTATCTTGCAGATTTTATCGCGAATATCAATATCAGCCGAGATAATAGGAGTATCAGTCCTTTTTGCTACCAAATCGAGATCATGTACACACAGATAATCGAGTCCCAAGCAATTAAATCGTTGATTCACACCCACTAACGAATATAACATATCAATCGTACTCAGTTTTTTAAAAATAATATGTAATATTTCATCCGGCAGATCGAGTATGTGTGTGTCCACTTTGTTGCTTTTGGTGATACCCATGATGAACGACATTTAAATGACTTGATTAAATTTCAACAATATATACGTATGCACAATTTGTTATTTCTTTCGTTGCCGTCCGTCAGAATAATTGGCTGTAGTTGACAGAAAAAAGATGAAGACATCAGGCGAATAGGTATTCAATTAATATGTGAACCGTCTATTTCCATTCTCGACGATTTAGGTCAAAATACACCAATCGAATTGCATGTTTCAACTTTAAGTCAATAAATTTTGTCGGTCTACGTGGTTGTAACCCTTATCGTCGCAGAAAACTACGCCGAACTATGCACAGTCGCAATTATAGACAGTAGGAAGTGATATAATCGAAGTAGAACTTATTGATATGTAAGCCAGCACAATAAACATCGCGGAAGTTTCTTTTATTACTCATATTCTCGTTCACCAGTAAGGTTTGCAATAGAAACCTAAAAGAAAGTGTACACGTACAATCTGTTAGCGCTAATAACGTGTATAGACACACTTTGCTTTTGATGGCAAAATGCACAAAATAGATTAATTTTCACAAAATTTGAACAAGGCTTTTATCTATTTCATGACAGAAGAATAAAATCGTAAAATGCGAAATCAAGATGTTGAAGTCGACAAAAGTTGACAGTGAAATAGAAGAAGGCTTCGATCGGTATTAATCTAGTTAGGAAACCA